GGCGGGGCGGGGCGCACGGCGTCGCGGCGTATGGTGCATGGGAATCTCATGTCAGATGTTAGCCCCACTCAACTTATTGGAGCTTCTTTCCAGAAGCTATCGCGTCGGCGTGGCCGCGATACGCGATGCCTCTGGACGGGACCGCAAACAGAGCGCAGGGTGACGAACCGAACGGAGGGGAGGGAATGGTACTGTGGGTCAGCGCGGGCGAAACCCCAAAAGGGCAAAAGTTTCAAATGTCCTCCCCCACGAGCCCCCGAGCACCTCTCGGCCTTTCAGAAAGGGGGTCGGGGCAGACCGAAAAGCAGGGTCAGCATACAATCGGATTAAATACAATTTATTGACTTTTTCCGACCACAACGTAAATAATCCTACATATGCAGGGTGTCCCGTAGGCCTCTTCCTCAATTTTTGGTCTGCTATGCTGGCATGCGTGCGGACTCACGTACTGCCGTTCACCCACCCAAACCACCGAATGCTGTTCAGTACAGTAGGAAAAACAAGTAAACGTGGGTTAGTGATTAGTCAGCGGACCGGCCATAAGAGGGCGCCTTGCTGGACTTGTGTTTGAGAATGTGTGGGAAAGGGGGGGGGGCTTTGTGTGGCCAAGTGCATCGATACCGCAGTCCACCGCCACAGACTGTTTGCTCACGTGAGGCACGGGTCATATGTTGTATGTTGCCAGGAGCGACCTAGATTTTCCTTCCAACTTTGTCGCGTGCGAGGGTGGGTCTACGCCGGCCAACTTTCTAGCTATACTGTACCGCATACAGGAGTGCGGGCTGGTTGCATACTCATACGAGGCCATGAGGCGCTGAGGTGACAGTGCGTTCGGTAGTCACGCCTGCATGCAGTGCAAGTAACCACAAAAAAGTCAGGCTCAGAACACCTACTTTTTATCTGGGAAAGGACGATGTGTCGAGGACGAGGTGGCAGAGGATACAGAGCTGCCGCCAGAAAGAAGTTGGCGAAAAACCGCCTTAGCTCACCTGCGTGAAGCGGGTAGACGCCTGCCTACTAGGCAAACCCGCTGCACGCGCACTCAGATGTTGCCTAGTAGGCAGGCGGAGATGCGCGCCCGTTTCACACGTTTGTGCTTTGGCTGTTTTTTTATTGCCTAAAATTTCTGGCAACCCTGCAGAGGAATGCAGTACCCCTTCGCTCCCTCTCGCGGAGGCCGATAACGTCCAAATACCTGTGTACGGCAGGGAGGCCCAGGGGAAAGGGGGAGGGGGAGGGACCGCGCCGCGAGTCAACTGTTAAAATTTCATGGGCCAAGCGGCTGGCGGGGGGAGGGGAGGGGTGGGTGCGGGGACGTCCACTTCAGTGTTGGCGGAGTGGCGGAGTGGGGTCTGAAGCAGTGGCGCGGGGCTGGTCGTCGTCACTTTACGTCGTGCACGTGGTCGCGACGGGTCCCGGGTGATCCTGGCCCCGCCCCTGGCCGTCTGCAGCTCAGTCCGCTCGCCGCCGCCGGCACCGACCAGGGCCGCGTCGAGGGCACGACGAAGCCTTCCCCCGCCGCCGACGCGCACACTCCTGCAGCTCCGCCCGAGACTTGAAATAGTTTGACGGTTTCGGAAGTGGCGTTCCGCTGTCCATCGACTCTCCTCGAATGGTGTGACAACTGTGTGACGAGCGGCGGCGGGAGGGGTCGATCACGCCATGGACTTGTTCCGTGTGACAGATCGGGCCGCGGACAGCTTCGGTCCTCGAAGGTGCGACGGATCCGCCGGTGGCGATTCGGACTGACGCGGGACGGGGGACGTTGACGGGGACGGTGTCGGGACCGTCGGTGCCGGGTGACCGTTCGGCCGCGCGTCCGGTCCGGACCAGGGGCCCCAAGTGGTGGGACCCGGAAGTGGTCGCCCCTCTCCTGCAATGGGTGAGTGACAGGCTCCAGGCCGGGGCGCGACGTCCGCGGGGACAAGTGACGGGATAACGAGGCCGCAGTAGGGGAGGGGGCGCTGCCGGGGCGATGTGGCGGCACCCCCGCAGCGCTGCGCCCGCGACCTGTGGGCGCTGTTTCAACCCCTCCCCGCTATCTGGCCTGCCAGTGTCCGTTGGATCCCCCGATTGCCCTTCTCCCCACCCCGTCCACACACAATGGGAATGTTTGCCTGCTCGCCATGTCGTCGTCCTCGGCGGAGCGTCCCGACGGCGACGGCGGCCGGCGGGCTGGCTCAGGTTTCGCGTCGTGTGATGGAGTGTGGAGGGCTGCGGAGAGGAGAAGGGAGAAGGGTGCGGCGGCCGGTGGGGCGGGACAAGAAGTAAAATGACCTGGCATGGCAGCGTCCCGTGACGGGGAGGAGCCTTCGGCGGTACAAAAGCGTGCGTATCGCAGCGTCCACGCGTGTGCGCCCCAAGTGTCAACTCTCCCCGCTGGACGAGGGTGGGGAGCGCGAGGGCGTGCGGGGCGGGGCGCGAGCGGGCGCGAGCGGGCGTGTACCGCGGCAGGAGCGGCAGGAAGTGTAAGTTAGCGCGTCGGGACAGGGCGACACGGCCTGCCGGGGACGCGCGCCAGGACGCGGGGGACCGGCCGGGAGATCCTGGCGGGTGGGAGGGAGGAGGGAGGGAGGCCCTGGAGGCAGAGAGGAAGGGAGGCCCTCCTGAACGGGGAAGGGTGTTGTTCTTTGGAGAAAGTCCTAGAGGACTCGGACTTGGTCCTGAAAGTGTTTTGGAGGTTCATGGGGAGGGTAACAGGGAGGGTGTTGTCTTCAGGAACTTGCTGTGATGTTCGTTATCGCAGTTATCGGCAACCGCGTGTGCTTTGGTTTCCAGGTGAGCCCCCCGGCCCGTCTGCAGATATGGGTCGGAAAGTGGTGCCGGTGGTGAAGCAGGCGCAGAGGATGGTGCACGACGGTCTCGTCCCGGCGGCCGAGGGCCAGACCGAGCCGGACGCCAGCTCGCAGGTGAGGCCCGATTAATTTCCGGTTTACTTCTTGAGAGACAACACATGACACACGCTTCGTTCAACTCTTTCTCCGGTCCTTGTTCAGGGCAGCGGCATCAAGCTGCGCAAGGAGCTGGGCCTGCTCGATGGCGTGGCCATCATCGTGGGCGTCATCATCGGCGCCGGCATCTTCGTGTCGCCCAAGGGCGTCCTGCAGAACACGGGCTCCATCGGGGTGGCGCTCATCGTGTGGGTGCTGTGCGGCGGCCTCAGCCTCATCGGCGCGCTATGCTACGCCGAGCTGGGTGAGTGGGACCTCCGGGTTCGTCTGGCAAGTGGCCACGACGACTGCTGCAGCGTGTTTGGGCGTTACGTGTTAAAAAGTCGGACTTCCATCCCTTCACCCCCTCAAGTGGCAAGGGCGACGAACGCCCCGCCCCGCCCCGCCCGCCGTTTGGCGGAGCGCCGGCGGTAGTGACATTGTTTACGAATATCATAAGTTCGCGAGTCGCGCCGGTCGCCGGCTAATTCCGAGCTCCCGTCCCCCCCCCCCTCCTCCCCC